CTGCCTTATGCGGGTCCCGGATCTCTACCGCCCACTTCCCCCACGGCCGCCGCTTGACCCCGTGGTACTTCCACCCCGCGGGATCGGGTGCCAGCGCCGGCGCCGCCGGTTCCTGCACCGCCACCCCCGCGAGCTGGCCATGGTGGACGGCGCTGTCGTCCGCGCGGTGCCACGGCGGCATGACGAGCGCTGGCGCCTGGCGCGGCGGCGCGCGACCGCAGGATACGACATGCGTGAGCGCCAACATGATCATCGCCGTCTCCGCCGCCAGCGACTGCTCCGAGCACCCCATCGTCGACGGTATCTGCGGCTGCATTGATCTTTTCCTCGCCTGTTCGGATGCTGCTGGAGCTAGAGGAAGGAGAGGGAGAGGATGAATGATTGACATGTGGGCCCCACATGTCACTAAGATGAAGGCCGATGTCCTACGTGCCGGTCAATGCCAGCGTGGTGTGGTCAAACCCGCTCCACGTCGGTCAAAACAGCCCCGCCCGCGCCCAGGTGCTAAAATGAAAGGTTTTGACAGTTTGGGTACCAGCATTAGATGGTTTTGTAGCTGAGGGTTAAAATTAGACGAACCCAATAGTTGAGGGGCCAAAAGTAGACTTAATCCTAAGTTATATATAGATATAGAGTCCAGCTGCTTCAACGTACCTAACTCGGTCGAATCGTTAAACCGGCCAACGTTAACGTCTGATTGCAATTGCAATGTTGCTTTTTCGTCGTCGTCACTTGGCTCGTCCCCATGTGAGCAACTTCCAAGTGTCCCATATCATGTGCTGATGCTCATATAGTCCATGCATTATATTGAATTAATGATCGGTCGATCGTACTTTTTTTAGTTTTATTTGCAAAACAATCGGCCACTGATGCATGATTTCTATAGTACGTATAGATGATAGATTGCCGAGAGCAATTCCAGGCATAGATCAGTGGGTAGTACTTAGTTTAATGGGAGACTTGGTGATGTACTTCACTATGCGCAGCCACGGCCACGGCGCCACAGCGACGTGGCCACTGGAGTCGTAGTAGCAGTGCAGGTGCGGTGCTTGTGGCGGCGGTGAAGGCGATGGCGCTTTCCATCGCTTACAGCTCCCCCTTCTAGATCGGACTGGGGTTAGGACGTGGTGGGGCGCTGGCGGCTACAGTGAACCTCGTGTCCTGTACCCCAGCCCCCACCATCCTTTTAATAGTGTTGTGGGACGGGGGGCCATCAGCCACTTATAACAGCTGAGCGCCCCTGATCAGGGCGTGGATCAAGGGCCCAATTGGCCATTGGGCCAATTTGGTGGAGATCAACCTAACATTCTCCCCCTTAATCTCATCTTATGACTTAAACTTAACTTACTATATCTTTTTCCTATTCCATCACAAATCAGTGCATAGAGCGTGCCTCATCATCACGGTCAGTTGCCACTAGATTAAACAGCTACAATGCACCTCTCTGTTTTGAAATAGATTCTCAACTAGGCCCTTAGTATCCAAAAATCATAGGCTTTCCCGTAAACCCATGTCGACTGTGTGTTCTCTGAACGCACTGGGTGGTTAGCCTTTGGTAAGCGGATCCGCAAGTACTTGCTCGGTACTTATATGCTCAATGCTTTCAAAATGATTCTGGATTTTCTCCTTTACAACATATAACTAAGTGTCAATATGTTTGGCAGCACACTTAACCTATTACCTTAGGAGTTAACTTAAATGGTTATTGTTGTTGTCTACCATTGTTAAATCCAGGTACAGATTCCCTTAACCACCATTTGCCTATTCCCGAAGTCTCATGACAAGCTATACTATGGTATGCATCATTGATGATACCACAATTGTTTCTTTGGAGGTGTGCTTACTAACAAGTAAAGTTAATCAGTTAATTATATTTTTACAGGTGTGCATGAGCTGTCCAGTGTGCATGAGCCCAGTTACTTCATATCAATTATCAAGACGTATAAATATCGACAATCCTCATTAGCTTATATGTTTGTATACATACTTGTAACGTTCACTTAGGTAGAAATCCTCAGAACCAACACCTTGTACTCTTGTGCTTGTGGTCAGATTTGAATTATATATGTTCTGGTCGAATTTGAGTTTTTTTGGCGAAAAATGTACTGTAAGGGAGGTTCTAGACTGAACCGCCCCTACAAACATGTATTATAGGGGCGCCCCTACAAATCGATTTGTACGGACGGTCTGGGAACCGCCCCTACAAATGCATGATTTGTAGAGACGTTATGGTAGGGGCGGCTGGCCTAACCGCCTCTACAAATCATCTGGAGCCGCCCCTACAAAAGATTTATGTAGTAGTGGTTTTTCCTAAGGTATTGAGAAGGTTGTGCTTTCTCCTAATCCTCGTTGGAGCCCCTCACAAGGGCCAAGCTCCATGTTGGGTAACATAATAGATAGCTTTTCGTCCTTCTCCGCATGCAACTGGGTCTCCGTGATGGCCTTCCCCCAGACCTCCCCTCGCCGTCTTCAGTATTGTATTTCCGGTCAAAACGTCGTCTTAGGTCACATGTTCCCTTGAGTACACGCTAGCTGGCCTCTCCGTACATCGGAGGGTCCCGCAAGACTAGCTACAAGCCCTTAGTGTAGAGAAGTAATGGTGCTTGCAAAAGGTTTATTACTATATAGAAAAATCGAGTAGGAATAATGATTGAATTCTAAGCCACTACTATCTCTTTCCATACATATTTATAGTGGAGTGTTTATTTATTTATTTCCTATGCCTTTAGATAAATCTAGACCCCTATAATATGGATCTATATGATCAATGAGTTAGTTTTACGTATTAATACATAATTTTTTTTATTTAGGTACCTTTTCCTACCTATAGAAATTATTACTATTTTCTATAAATTTTACTTTAAATTTAGCTATTTAATCATTATAGTTTATATGGAGTACTTACCTAGGTACTTTTTTCTTTTACATTCATTTGGAGATGACTAAGTAAGATATTAATGTTTGTAATTTATAATGTTTGAAACATTGACGGATAATTAAGTTAAAAAAAAGAACTAGATATATAGAGCCGTATCAAAATTGTGTCGCGCTTATATTTGCATATTGGCTGCATGCGGGGCGAGTACGTGTATCTTGTAGTAATCGTCCAAGTTTGACCCATGCAGATGCATGATGCTTCAATGCAATGAGCCTAACCAACCAAGCTGTTTGATGCATACACTGCCCTGTTCTGTATTTATGTGTGTTTATCACATGTTGCATGCACTGCCCGCTACATCTTTTTCTCTCCCTTACATGACATCTGTATACTGACTAAATAAACTTCCATTCCAGATGATGCTTATTTAGCCACCTTTCTTTTTCCACCATTGCATTGGGACAAGTTTGCCGCACACTTGCACTTAGTCACATGCACCCGTACGTGCTTTGAATCCAGAACCAAATATTCCCTGGATCCGTACTTCAAATAAAATAAATGTATGTCTCGTATTTTGAGGAGTTAACCAATAACTTTAAGTTTTGCCAAATATATAAAAATACTAATATTTATGATACTAATAAATATTATTAAATTAATCATGCTATTTATTTTTATAGTAAATTGATTTAGAGATATAATGCCGATAATATTTTTTATAAATCTAATCAAACTTAAAATTAATTGTCTTCAGGAGGACTATTTCACCGGTCAGGCATGATGACACATCCAACACACATAAATGAGGAAAGGACCAAAAAAATTAATGAAGCGACTATTACTATGTTAGCATGATCAGCAATGACTAGCATTAAGACAAATAGCTTAATAGCTAGTTAGGGACGTACTTCCTCTGATCCATTTTATAAGGTATACATAGCTTGACAAATGAATTGAAATTAAAACTCAACATGTAAACCAAAAAATGAACAAAAGTAACTAATTTTGGTAAGGGCTAAATTGGACCAAATTAAATAGTTGAAGTGACTAACTCAAACCAAACATTAGTTTAATAGGTTATCTTGACATTGGCTAAACTCTGCGGAGTATAGGGAGTGATTACTTGGATGGCTTAGCCCCAAACCAGGCTTCCCTATTAGTACACCCTAAGCTTGTTTGGTTGCCTCCTTCTTGATTGTAACCAGGCTTACCTAGTGCAACACGTACCCCTTGGCTAGACTTGCTGGGCACGACTTGTTATCTAATGTTTGTAGTTGCAGTCACAGTCATAGGGCTATGGCGATGATGACAAACGGAGATGAAGAAGGTGACGGAGGTAAGATCACCATGGCAAAGGAGAGGTAATAGTACCAAGTAATTCAGGCAACCAAACAAAAACTAGCCAATACAGGCTTAGCTAGTACATGACAACCAAATACGACTAGGTTGCATTGGCATGGACATACTTAAGATAGCCTGGTTATTTTTCTAGCTAAGCTTACCAGAGAAACACAACCAAACACACCCATAGTGTAGATAATGGAGTGGACCGAATCTTGCAGTCGGCCCACCAATCTTAAAGTTGTATCCATCCATTCATGACCACATATTTTCACAAATATATATGGCACACAGATATTTTCCTAGCGCATGTCATCATTATTATACGCACAAAATTTGTATATGGAAGGGAAATGCCGGGAAACGAAGGGATCATGGGAAATCTGTTTCCGCGTTTGGATAGAGACATGAGACCCCAAGGACAAGGACAGAACTAAGCCAGTCATCTTTACGTGTAAAAAAAAAGGATGTGGGATGTGGGAGAGATCAGAGCGAGAGAGAAAGACAAGGATGACTCAGACGTAGTATAAGAGAGAGAAAGAGATACTCCAAAAGAAAAGAGATGCACATCCCAATGCAAATGTATAGCTGTGAGGTTTTGGACATTTTAGCGTTATATTTTGCCATCCAACTTTCCACGTACGATGCACAAGCTACATACATACTTTCCAGAACATACGTCTAGTTTCTATATAAAGCAGCCAAAGGGATAGCCAGCTTTCATAGCAGCAAGGTAGAAACACACACACAAAGAGAGAACCTGGCTAGCACCCAATCACCTATGAGTCACCTGGAGGTGGCATACCAACTCACCTCTTCACCGTTCGTTCTAGCACAATGCTTACTATTGTTCGCCGTCCCTCTCCTTCTACTCCTGCTCCACTACGGATCCCGACGGTCAAGGTCAAGCCGCCACCGTCGCAGCAGCAGCAGGTGCAGCGATGACGACAGATCGGCCAAGGGACAGCACCTGCCTTCGCCTCTGGGGCTGCCCATCATCGGCCACCTTCACCTCGTCAGCGACCTCCCGCACATATCCCTCCGTGACCTCTCCACCAAGCATAGCCGAGATGGCTTCATGCTCCTCCGCCTCGGCACCGTCCCCACTCTCATCGTGTCATCTCCGCGGGCTGCGGAGGCGATCATGCGCACGCACGACCATGTGTTCGCGTCGCGTCCCACGTCCACGGTCAGCGACGACCTCATGTACGGGTCCTCCGACATCGCCTTCTCCCCCTACGGCGAGCACTGGCGGCAGGCCAGAAAGCTGGTCACCGCGCACCTCTTCACCGTCAAGAAAGTGCAGTCGTACCGCAGCGCCCGCAAAGAAGAGGTGAGCCTGGTGCTGGCCAAGGCATGGGAGGCAGCGGTGGCGGGCACGGCCGTGGACATCAGCATGATGATGAACACGTTCGCCAACGATATCGTGAGCCGCGCCGTGTCGGGCAAGTTCTTCCGGGCAGAAGGCCGGAACAAGCTCTTCCGGGAGCTGGTGGAGGCCAACTCTGCTTTGTTTGGAGGGTTCAACCTAAAAGACTACTTCCCTGGGCTGGCGAGGTCGTTAGGTTTCCTTAGCAGAAGGTTTCTGCGCAACAGGGCCCACGAGACGCACAAGAGATGGGACGAGTTGCTTGAAACCATACTAAGCGACCACGAGAGAAGAGACTCTATGCATCGCCATGACGGAGGTGACTTCACTGATGTGTTGCTCTCGGTACAGAAAGAGTATGGTATGACTAGAAATCATGTCAAGGCCATCCTGATGGTGAGTGACTAACCCAGCCCGCCACCCAATATAATCTATATACATTTGTTTCCTTTGATTTATACATCTTGATGATATATACGACGACTAACAAATGTACATATATACATATTTATATACAGGACATGTTTGCTGCGGGCACAGACACGTCATCCTTGGTCCTGGAGCTCGCCATGGCTGAGCTGATGCGCAACCCACCGCAGATGGCCAAGCTACAAGGAGAAGTCCGGAAGCACACACCAGAGGGGCAGGAAACGGTGGAGGAAGAGGACCTAGCCAGCATGCCCTACCTGAAAGCCGTCGTGAAGGAGACACTGAGGTTGCACCCGCCTGCCCCGCTGCTCCTCCCTCGCTTCTCCATGGCGAACAGCATCGTCCACGGATACTACGTTCCCTCTGGCACCCGGGTCATTGTCCACGCGTGGGCTCTTGGCAGAGACCCGGAGTCATGGGAGAACCCAGAGGAGTTCACGCCGGAGAGGTTTGTGGACGGTGGCAGCGCTGCAGGCGTCGACTTCAAAGGGAACCACTTCCACTTCCTGCCGTTTGGAGCTGGCCGAAGGATATGCCCTGGCCTCAACTTTGGGATGGCCACTGTTGAGATCATGTTAGCAAACCTCATGTACTGCTTTGACTGGCAGCTCCCCATGGGCATGGAGGACAAGGATGTTGACATGACAGAGGTGTTCGGACTGCCGGTGCGTCCAAAGGAGAAGCTCATGCTTGTTCCCAAGCTTCCTTGTGCTGAGGTCGCTGGTCCTGTATATATGTGACTGAGTCATCTGCAGTCTCCTAGTATATCAATCGATCTATATCATATCAATCGCACTCAGGCGCAGGCACATACATCCGAACACCTTATGTATTAACTGAATCAATCCGCCGTCGCACGAGCACAATGCACACACCATCAGCATGTTCGTTTCGTCGTAAACGATCGTGGATTATTTACTGCTGCCTGGTTTAGTGTGAGAGAAAAATATTGTTTCAACTTATAATCCACAATCGTATACGAGCAAGCGAACAGGCTGCATATATATGGCCATGCACGGTGAAGTGAACTGTAGACTCTACACAGATGGTTTGAAGTTGGGAGTCTATGTTTATTATATGGTAATAAATAGTGTACAAATATATAATTCAATCTGGAATCTGATAAAAACATCCTTGTCGTGCTTTTGACACATGGTATTTTGATGGAGAAAAAATCTCTCTGCTGTCGTGATTTCCACACCTATGACGTGTTTTTGCCCCCAGCAAAACTAGCCCGGCCCGCTTTCCTTCGTTGGCCAACAAACGCAGTTATTTCTTTTTTCTTGGTTTCACTACTGCACAAACATTATCACCATTGGCTCAGAATTCGCCATCATTCGACAATGAAAACCAAATTTTTTTTTTAAATAAACGTGTTGTGTGTGTGTGTGTGTGTGTGTGGGGGGGGGGGTCATCTTCCTCACCACCGAGGGCAGATCCTTGTTGGGAGGGGCTACCGTGTTCATGACACAAATCGGCGGTGAAAATGATTTCCACGCCAACTCATAATGAACTGGGGTTGTTGGTATTTCTTATGTCCAAGTTCTGCAAGCGCACAGAATACCATCGTAACACTTCATCTAGTTACGTTTCTTCACAAACATGCATGCGTGACGCTATTGAGTGACTCACACTAAGGCCGTCATGAGTTATGTTTGTTTGTGCTAAATATATTCATTATTAGTGTTCACTGTAGTAGTGGACGAGATGCACGTATACAAGCAACTAGGTGAATTCCCCGCGCTTTGCTGAGGGAATTATAAAGACAACATTGAGAATATTGGAGAAAGGAGATATCCATACATAATTGTATGGATATCAAATAAATAGAAATTGCAGAACATATTACAAAAAACATGAAAAGGCCTTTTTATGGTATTCACATGAAGGGAAGGGATTTACAATCTAGTTGCCGGTTTCAAGGATTTGACTTTTTGTTAAGATTCGATAGTTTGAAAATGTACATATAGAACCAATCTCAAACCTGAAGGCAATGCCAAATCTTCAACAATAATCTAGTTTTGTCAATCACCACTTAAGTTTGTAAAGATGGCTTACATTGATTACATAGCTTCAGTGCAAAATATTTGAAATACAAATAAACTGGAGTCAAGATATTAATTAATTTAACATGATACAAAATCCCATACTTCAAGCTGGTTCTATCATAGATACCTCTTGAACAAAGGAGAGTGAATATTGGCTATGACGGAGCAATGACCAGTTTTGTGCTCTCCAAATCACGGCATAACTCTTCAGAAAAGAAGATATGAATGCATACAACTGTTTAGATAATGAATGCATACAGCTTTTTAGGATGGCCCAATGCTGCCTTTGTGGCAGCCGTTGGAGAAGATGAGAAATTGAGGAGGCCCGATGGCAATTGTCATGCTCGATCGAGACCTATCAAAAAGAACCTGTAAAGGCAGCAGCTTGATGACTAACCAAGAGAAGCAGGTTTAAGTAGAAACCACAATTGCAAACAACAACAGCAGGGGAACGGCCAGGTTAGGCACTCCAAAACTAGGGACGATCGAGTTGTATATATATTGGGAATGTTGGAGAGGAATTGGAAGGACATTAATGCCATTAAAATGACTCTTTAACTTCTGAGTAATGCCAGGTCGCCAAGGTAGGTGCGCGTTCGGAGCTGGGTGCTGCATGCGGCCATTTCCTTGGGTGCTCAGGCAAGAGGCGTGTGAAGGAAGACAGATGGGGGAACGATGAATGTGGCTAGGAAACTGATGTGACTTGCTCAACATTTAGAAAATTAATTGGTATTTTTTTAACATATAAATCCATCAGCTGCAGAACGATGGGAGGAAGGCAAAGAAAGGATGAATAATCGGAGAGCAGAGACAACATCCAACGGCCCAGATGAAGACATATGTTACATCTGATGCACCAAACAATTGAGGTGATCGATGTGGCTGCATGAGGATTGAGAGAAATAGTAATCAATGATCCGTAGTGGGTTCTGTCTATATAAGTTATAGGATTAAGTCCACTTTTGGCCCCTCAACTATTGGGTTCGTCTAATTTTGATCCTCAACTACAAAACCGTCTAATGTCGGTACCACAACTGTCAAAACCGTTCACTTTTAGCACCTAGGCGCGGACGGGCTGTTTTGTCCAACGTGGAGCGGGTTGACCAAGCCACGTTGGTGTTGACCGCCACGTAGGACGCCAACGTCCATCTCAGTGACATGTGGGACCCATGCATCACCCTCTCATCCCCTCCCTCTCCATCCTCACGGCGGCGCCCCCACGCTGCCTCTGGCCCGAGTGACGCCAACATCGTCCCCCGCGCAGGCATCCGGCATGAAGCCGCGTAGGGGGCGCAGGCCGTGGGCGCCTCTGCCGGGAAGACCTGGCTGCGGGCTATAGCCACCGGGGGCAGCCAGCCGCGGGCTAGGAGCGGAGCAACCGCCGTGGGTGTGGAGACCGTCGGCTGCGAGCGCGGAGGCCACGCAGGGCCACAGCGTAAGAGGCCGCGCGAACTGCCTGCCGCGAGCGCGGGTGAAGGCAGATGATGCGCCCCCTGGTTTGACCACACCACGATGAGTACACTAAGACGAAGGCCCCAACGGCGGCACTATTATTATTGCTCTGCTTCCCGCCATCAGGCTGATGGAACAGAGAAGCGGAGGAGGAGGCATCGGCAAGCGAGGCGCCGGAGCCCCTCGAGGATTGCGGCGACGTGCCAATGCTCCACGAGCCGAGGAAGCGTCCGTTCCCGTGGCCACCGAGAGCCCGTCCATGATGCCGCTGGGCTCGGTGGCTTCGAGAATCCTCGAGTAGTCAAGGTAATCGGTCACGTCGTCGTCGCGGCGGCCTGCGACTGCGACTCGAGTAGCGCGCGAACGGGCCGGCCCTGGCCACGGCGGAGGCCGCCTCGGCGTCCCTGGCGGTGGCGGAGCTAGAGGTTGACCTTGGCGCGGCCGCCGTGGAAGCGGAGCGCGGCGGCGTCCTCGGCGGTGGCGAAGGTGCCGAGCCACACCCGCGCTGCCTTATGCGGGTCCCGGATCTCCGCCGCCCACTTCCCCCATAGCCGCCGCTTGACCCCGTGGTACTTCCACCCCGCGGGATCGGGTGCCGGCGCCGGCGCCGCCGACTCCTGCACCGCCACCCCCGCGAGCTAGCCATGGTGGACGGCGCTGTCGTCCGCGCGGTGCCACGGCGGCATGACGAGCGCCGGCACCTGGCGCGGCGGCGCGCGGCCGCAGGATACGACATGCGTGAGCGCCAACACGATCGTCGCCGTCTCCGCCGCCAGCGACTGCTCCAAGCACCCCATCGTCGACGGTATCTGCGACTGCATTGATCTTTTCCTCGCCTGTTCGGATGCTGCTGGAGCTAGAGGAAGGAGAGGGAGAGGATGAGTGATTGACATGTGGGCCCCACATGTCACTAAGATGAAGGCCGATGTCCTACGTGTCGGTCAATGCCAGCGTGGTGTGGTCAAACCCGCTCCACGTCGGTCAAAACAGCCCCGCCCGCGCCCAGATGCTAAAATGAAAGGTTTTGACAGTTTGGGTACCAGCATTAGATGGTTTTGTAGCTGAGGGTTAAAATTAGACGAATCCAATAGTTGAGGGGCCAAAAGTAGACTTAATCCTAAGTTATATATAGATATAGAGTCCAGCTGCTTCAACGTACCTAACTCGGTCGAATCGTTAAACCGGCCAACGTTAACGTCTGATTGCAATTGCAATGTTGCTTTTTCGTCGTCGTCACTTGGCTCGTCCCCATGTGAGCAACTTCCAAGTGTCCCATATCATGTGCTGTTGCTCATATAGTCCTTGCATTATATTGAATTATTGATCGGTCGATCGTACTTTTTTTAGTTTTATTTGCAAAACAATCGGCCACTGATGCATGATTTCTATAGTACATATAGATGATAGATTGCCGAGAGCAATTCCAGGCATAGATCAGTGGGTAGTACTTAGTTTAATGGGAGACTTGGTGATGTACTTCACTATGCGTAGCCACGGCTACGGCGCCACAGCGACGTGGCCACTGGAGTCATAGTAGCAGTGCAGGCACGGTGCTTGTGGCGGCGGTGAAGGCGATGGCACTTCCCGTCGCTTACAGCTCCTCTTCTAGATCGGACTGGGGTTAGGACGTGGTGGGGCGCTGGTGGCTGCGGTGAACCTCGTGTCCTGTGCCCCAGCCCCCACCATCCTTTTAATAGTGCTGCGCGACAGGGTCTATCAGCCACTTAGAACAGCTGATCGCCCCCGATCAGGACGCGGATCAAAGGCCCAATTGATCATTGGACCAAGTTGATGGAGATGAACCTAACAATAGAAAGTCAGTAACACTGGCATTTTGTAAACTTGAAAGTAACATTAAGTATTACCTTAGTGAATGCATGTCAATATCATTGTTTTGCCAAAGCGAATGATATGACGCCTCGTAATATGCATTGTTATATGGACCGCCTCTAGAAAGCCACGCGGCAGCAATATGGTTGGACTGGGATATGGTATCTTTTTATTTGAATTCAGGATCTTCTTCAGGGCCTCGCTCTGTTTCTTTGCTACCTACCACTGCGTGATTGTCTAATTTTTGGTTGATGTCGTTTTAAACTAGTAGCAACAAGAAGTTCTCCCAGATTATAGGGATCTAATCTACCTGGGGTTTTGTCGCTAGCTAGCTCTTGTTTTTTTCTGGGATCTCCTGCCCTTTTTCATACGTATCGTATCGTGTTCTTGCCTGCTTTGTTAGTCGATTA